TGGGGCCTCGATCTTAGGCAAAGCTCTCATTACCAGATCAGTAGAAAAGGACGTGTTAGCAGGAACAATTGGAGGAGTGGACATTTTAGTACCTTCCAGAGCTCTATCAGAGGCAGCAGGAGCCTGTCATCGCCCTCTGAATCAGACTCCTCCAACTCCTTCTTAGTGGGGATGGCAAAGTCAAAGTCGAGGTCTGGGTAGGCCTTCTCCACTTTGCGCTGAAAGGCCAGCCATCCTGAGGCCCACTTGGTGGTGACATCATCCTTCAGCTCGGCTATTATGTCATCCCTCTCCTTGACAGCTGTCTTTTGCACCTCGAGCTCACCACATAGGCTCTCGTTCACCTCAGCCAGTATAATATACTCCTTTCTAAGGCTCTTGAGGGAGCCCCGAGCATCAAAGGCTTCTTGGCTAGCTTTGTTCTAAGTATTAGTTTTGAGTAGCAGCTCTTCCCTGGTCATCTTTAGCTCATCCCTGATCTTCTTCTTTTTTTTCTTAGCCCTATCCTTAGCAGCTTGAAGGCCTTCGTAGTCAGAGATCTGTTTCTCCATTTGCTCCTCGAGCTTTTGCACCTGAGCTCTAAGACTCTCATTGTTAAAGGTCAGCTCAGCGACCTTAAACTCGTATGTCTTCAAAGCTTTGACAGAGTCCTCTAAAGATCGGACCCTGCCCATCAATTTCTTCAAATGAAGAGTCATTTGTGGACAAAAAAAGAAGAAGAGAAAACAGACATAAATCAACACAATTTCAACTACGCCAAATTAAGAGCAAGTATGAAAATACTTACAGTGGCTGCTCCCTAGAGAGTTGAGCAGAAAGAGGCCTCCGGAGGCATGGTAGAGGCCCTCTGAATATCAAATTCAAGGAGAATGGATGAAATGACCCCAGCAGTCAACTCAACATTGTCGAAGAAGGAGTCTTCATAAGTCTCATAGCCCTCCCTCTTTTCGACTTTGGGACTCCAGAGAGGTAGCTAGGATGGTTGCTCAGGTGGTCCGAGGGATGCAAACTCTGGCTTGATTCTAGTAATCAACCCCAATGCTCCCTTAACCTCAGAAAAGGTGGGAGAAGCCAGCCCTGGCTTGGAAGTCTTTCAAGGGGCAAACTGGGCCCCTTGAAGAGGAGAAGGGGTCAAGGATTGAGATGAGGGAGTCTATCCTCCCTTGCTCAAAGCAGGAGAAGAGGGCACTCCTAGCTTCTACACTTTAGCTCTGTCAACGGGGCTGCCTCCAGAGCTAGTATCGGTCTTCCGTTTGCCACTTTTCCTACTTTTCTTCAGTAGGTCAACTTTAGCCTAAAGTTCCTCAAGGGTAGATTTCATTATGGAGGAGCCTGGGAGACCTGAATCGAGCAAGTTAAACAGGAGAGAGAAAAAAGAAGGGAAGACAAGGGAACCAACTCAGAAAGTGTTACCTTCTATGTCTTTAGGCCTAACAACTAAGATAGGGAGTGGAGCTTCTATTGATACCTTAGAAGGACTGAATCCCTGTGTTACTAAAACCCAGGGCTTGATGAGCTCGGGGTACTTCTCTAGATTACACTTCTCCAATTTTCACTTTACCCTCTCGTCCTCAGCACTGAGCTCTGGTCGAATGCTTGAAAAACAACACAAGGAGAGCAAAGGTCAAAAAGGTGACTCAACAATTCCCAAGCCAGAGCTCAATCAGTTCGAGTAAGGGCTCACCTAAGTTATCAGGAGCGAACCAAGTTCTAGGGATACCCAGAGTATCAGTCCTGTCAGTAGAGTTATACTCCTAGTTGGTGCCCCTAACGAAAAAGAATTATTTTTTTCAACCTTTATGGGAGCTCGAGAGGTAAGTAATGATCTGCCTAGCCGTGGTTCACTTGGAGATATATAAGAAATCCTCTGATGATGTGAGCTTGACATTAAAAAGATCCACAAGCAAGGAAAGGTTGGGGACCCCGAGTCCATGAATCTTGAATAAAACAAGAAGACCCATAAGTACACCTCAAAAATTAGGGGAGAGCTGAGCAGGGCAGACATTAAAGTGTTGCAAAACACTCTTGATGAAGGGATGCATAGGGAAGCGAATGTCATTCTCAAAAGCGGCCACAAAGAAACATACTCTTTTATGAACTTGGGCAACGTATGAGGTGTATTTATCTAGACACCAGGAGGAAAACTGTAATAAGCACTGAGAATTCTCATATGAGAAGAGTCAACCTCACTAGGTTCTACGAGCTCAGCATGCCTAAAGGCCGTTCCTGTGCCCGCTGCGCTGTCAGAAACTCCTATCCCACTCACCTTGCCCTTACCTTTGTTAGAATTAGGGGGCACAAAAGAAGACAATGGGGATGGTTCCTCAGTATTTTTCTCGACATCAACAACATCCACAACAAAAAAATTATCGATTTTCTCACCTACATCCACTAAATCAGTGTCCTCTTTGGTAGACCTTTCCTTCAAGAGAGAAGCAGAGGAACTGTAACTCTAGAAGGAGTAGTCATGACTAGACAGGAGAAAGGTAAATTGAAAAAATGGTAGAGAGGAGGAATACTAATTAAGCACTCTCTGATAACCCTAGGGTCAACGCAATAGCTTCCAACAACAAGAATTCGCATGATAGAAGACTAGTCCACAAAGTGGAGGAGATGAGACAAGCAGTAATTTCGAATCCAAAAGTAAAAGAACCGAAAGGCCCAGAAATGCAATAGCCACCTCAAATTCGAGGGATGCAGAACGAGAACAGGTGAAAAAGGGACAAAATGGCGTACCTAGGTGGGAAAGAGCAACGAACAACAGTCTAGAGCGAAATGGAAGAAATAGGGCAATACGAATCTTCAAATCGAACCCACAGAACTCGATCTTGAGCGAGGAGTTAGAGAATTTCAAACCAGAAAAGCCAAGAAATCGCAAGAAGAGAGAAGAAACAGAGAAGTTGAATAGTGGAATAGGACAGTTCAGATAGCCGTTTGAGCATTTAAAGCCTGAGAGACGTGGACTGGAACATGCACGAGAAACGAGGAAGCCATGATTGCTGAAAATCGTCAAAAATGTCTAACTCACGTGCAAGCCAAGGTCAGCCACGTGTAGATCCTGCTCGGTTTAAAAAATAGCTCAATCTCTGCCCAAGCCCGCTTGAACTAGGGGTTGGGGGGCAACTGATGATACTTCAAACAAGCCTTAATTGTGAGCTCAGGTCAAGAGGTCAGGAAAGACACGAGAAACTCAGAGAATCAGGGGTGGAGCTCCCCTTGGGGAGATCGTAGCTGAACCGACCAAAAAACAATTGGATGACTGCAAAAATTGAGCCCCATGCATGAAACTCTCAACCAACCAAGATTCTCTCCTAAAATCAAGGAGGATCCCATAAATAATGGGCGAAGATCTCGGCTGAAATCCTACAGAATAGTGGACAGCTTTATAAATACTATGTAATGCCTCATCGAGATAGAGAGAACAAAAAAAGAACCCTAATTGGATTATGCACTGTCTTGTATCACATTCAAATAATCAATAGAGAAGAAAATGAGCAAGAGCCTCCATTTGAGAGTGGATTAACCTAACTCCAGAGCTAGTGAACCACTATATTCCTACTGTGCAAATTTTCCTATCCCCTAAAAAGCACTTCATCACTGCTATTACGAAGTTAATAACCTAATTTCACCGTTAGTTTCACGCACTCTATTCACTCACATTAGTCTATACCATCAAAAACTAATTAAATATGAGAATAAAATTTGGCTAGGGGTTAGGAAAAGTCAAAAANCAGAACGAGAACAGGTGAAAAAGGGACAAAATGGCGTACCTAGGTGGGAAAGAGCAACGAACAACAGTCTAGAGCGAAATGGAAGAAATAGGGCAATACGAATCTTCAAATCGAACCCACAGAACTCGATCTTGAGCGAGGAGTTAGAGAATTTCAAACCAGAAAAGCCAAGAAATCGCAAGAAGAGAGAAGAAACAGAGAAGTTGAATAGTGGAATAGGACAGTTCAGATAGCCGTTTGAGCATTTAAAGCCTGAGAGACGTGGACTGGAACATGCACGAGAAACGAGGAAGCCATGATTGCTGAAAATCGTCAAAAATGTCTAACTCACGTGCAAGCCAAGGTCAGCCACGTGTAGATCCTGCTCGGTTTAAAAAATAGCTCAATCTCTGCCCAAGCCCGCTTGAACTAGGGGTTGGGGGGCAACTGATGATACTTCAAACAAGCCTTAATTGTGAGCTCAGGTCAAGAGGTCAGGAAAGACACGAGAAACTCAGAGAATCAGGGGTGGAGCTCCCCTTGGGGAGATCGTAGCTGAACCGACCAAAAAACAATTGGATGACTGCAAAAATTGAGCCCCATGCATGAAACTCTCAACCAACCAAGATTCTCTCCTAAAATCAAGGAGGATCCCATAAATAATGGGCGAAGATCTCGGCTGAAATCCTACAGAATAGTGGACAGCTTTATAAATACTATGTAATGCCTCATCGAGATAGAGAGAACAAAAAAAGAACCCTAATTGGATTATGCACTGTCTTGTATCACATTCAAATAATCAATAGAGAAGAAAATGAGCAAGAGCCTCCATTTGAGAGTGGATTAACCTAACTCCAGAGCTAGTGAACCACTATATTCCTACTGTGCAAATTTTCCTATCCCCTAAAAAGCACTTCATCACTGCTATTACGAAGTTAATAACCTAATTTCACCGTTAGTTTCACGCACTCTATTCACTCACATTAGTCTATACCATCAAAAACTAATTAAATATGAGAATAAAATTTGGCTAGGGGTTAGGAAAAGTCAAAAAGCTCCTGGTTAAGTATTTTTTCGTCTTTTGGTGGCTATTACTCAAGAGTCGTGGAAACTTTAACACGCCAAGGGAAGTCGACCCACAGCGACGTTTAATTTAATGTATTAGAGTAGTAGTTGGGAAACAATTGTCTCGTGGAATTGATAGCCCCCGCGTGACGACATGGCTTGCTATTGGATGCTGCTAAGCCGGCAAATGCTATTAATGAGAAATTGATTCTTGGCCGGTTTGGCTGCCTACTGTCGAGCAGTCACAGAATGGCGCTATGGTCTGCTGTCTTAAGCCTAACACTAAGAAGAAGAAAGCCACAAGGATGTCTCACTCGACCTCGATGGGGGTTAATTTCCTTGCCGTTGCCGCTGCTAGTGGCAGTGCTGATGGTCCTGATGGTGACGGTGACTCTGGTGGTGGTGTCCACACATCAGTCGATCATTGAACAGCGGCACGAAACCCTAACTACCGAACTACCAGAATCAGCAGAAATCAGGCGCAACGAGACAACATTCTTTCAATTTCAGGTCCAGGGGAGAGCAGGGGAGAGGAATCAGTTTTCCCGTGCAGGTCCAGTTGCACCACAACAAACCAAGACAAGCGGTGCCGTCCTCGACAGTTCGTTGGAGTCAGGAGGTGGTCCCTATCATAATTGGGAACTTTTTGCTGCCGATTATCAGGAAATGCTGCATAGCTTTAAATTGTTTGTATATCCCGATGTGTACATGAACAAACACTCCTCTTCCTCTTCCTCTTCCTCTACTCCTTTTGCTCGCATCTTCCTTCCCCACCCAAACCCCTTTGACCCAAAGCTAGGAAATTACTTCAGCGAGCACGCGTTCAAGGCGGCTCTTCTTCGAAGCTCCCTGGTTACTCCACATCCACAGGAGGCCCATTTCTTCTTCATGCCATTTTCCATCAATGCCATGCGAAATGACCCTAGGCTGCATTCTGCATCGTCCATTAAGGATTTTGTGGCCCAATACACCACCAGGATTAGCTCCCAGTTCGAATTTTGGAATGCTTCTGGAGGTGCCGATCACTTTTACGTCTGCTGTCATTCCATTGGTCGGGACGCGGCCTCCAAGCATCATCAATTGCATAACAATGCCGTTCAGGTCACTTGTTCATCCAGCTACTTTCAGAGGCTTTATATTGCCCACAAAGACGTTGGCCTGCCGCAAGTTTGGCCTCGCCAACATAAGCAAGTATTGAATCCTCCGGATACCAGGTGTGGTCTGTCTTACCTGACTGACTCTTCTCCTGCGCATTGAGTAACTCAGATAAATTAACACCTTCTCCACGATTTTGTATTTTTGCCTTGCTAAAGAGTGTCTGATACATTGGTATGTTGGGAATAGTGAGTTCACTAGTTCTAGCTAACTTTAATGTGGATAATTTCTATTTAGTTTTTCTTTTGAATATGGATCCGTTCCTTGCCAAAAGTCAATAGTGATATGGTTGGCGGGTCGAATAATAGGTTAGGATTGGTGCATGTGAATTTTTAATAGACATCTGATAGAGGAGTTTTACTAGGATTGGGTAAAGCTAGAAAGTTTACTAAAAATTAATGAATCAGATTTACTTGGACCAGGTTTTCTAGTTAGTCAACGGATGCCTATAAATATGTTGTACCCCTTTAAAGGGAGAAGAGTTTTACTAGGATGGGTAACCTAGAAAGTTTACCAAAAATTGATGTATTAAATTTACCACGAGTAGGTTTCCTAGTTAGTGCAAGATTAGGGTTATTAATTGGTGCCTATGAATATGTTGTAAACTTTTAGATTTTGATTTAAAAATAATAAAGAAAAGTTATTCTTGTGGATGTGGGTAGGATTTCTACCGAACCACATAAATTATATGTTCTTGTTTTTTTGATTTTCTTTTTCTTGATTGTTCACCATATTGCACGTTTATAAAAAACTGGTATCAGAGCTATTGGTTTCTCAATCCAATGGCAAAAAATTCTTCATTGGCTAAGTACGAAATCGTTAAATTTGATGGCACGAGGAATTTTGAGTAATGACACAGAAGAGTTAAGCATCTGTTGGTGAAGCAAGGATTGGTAAAAGTTTTGGAAGAAAAAGCGAAGAAACCAAAAAATGTCAACAGATGTGATGTAGGGCGGGAAGGACTAGAAATCACAAAATAGAAAGAGAAGAAGAAAGAGGAGAGGGTGACAGGGGTTTACTTCATCCTCACAAAGAATCGGTAAAGAAACACAAATTCTCTATGGAGAATTTTTTTTTATTATATCACTCTGTCTAATAAAAATAGTTGGGATTACACTATTATTTATAAGCCAAGTTTCCTACCAATATGAAAACTATTCTCCTACTAAAATTCAAAAAGAGTTTCATAATCAGACTCTCAAGTTCTTATCCTACTAAGATTCTATAATAATTTCCTAGTCAAACTCTAATTAATACTCGTAGTCAAACAAATATTTTCTAAATAAAATAATACTAAAATAAATAATAAGATTCAATTCTTAAATTTAACCTCATCCAATCTTTTTTCGTCTCTGTTAATTCTCCTCGGTTGAAAAAAACTCTTCTCTGAAGAGTTGGAAGGCCACAAGGACTCCAAAAACTCTAAACAAGTTTGTGTTCTAAGAAAATGACATTGTAGATCTTCATAATAGAAAGCAATCCCTTTATGCATTGCATTTATCACAGTCTTATCCACATGCACTATTATAGGTGAAGGAAATATATAAACCAATGGAGACAAAATAACAACTCCATTTGTAGTGGCACCTTTTGAAACTTCTTTAATTTCTTCTGTAAGAAGATCCTTTGAAATCGGCTTATCAAAAGTAATTATTGTAGGATGAGTAGATCTTTTAGGCTCATCAATAGTATCTAATTTTAGCTCACCATTCAATTGAATTGGAGCTTGTGATGGAGGGCTTTTACAAATACTTGTGGAGGATTAAGGACTAAAGATGATGGACTATTATCGGCGTTTTTCTCAACTCCTTTACCCTTTTTATCTAAGAGTTAAGCTTCCATGATCTCCTTTAGTGATGTTATAGACGCCTCTAATGAATTCTTCCCCTAGTTCATGGCCTTTGTGAATCAAGGAAAGAAAAGGAAATGTTGAGATTAATTATGTTATTCCACAACTGAATTTTTTTTAGGAAGTTAGTTTGTGAAGCCATTAGGGTTTTAAGAGAGAAGATTATCAGAATAGGGTAATGAGTTAGGTTACACAACTATACCCTATTTATATATATAGGCACAAAGTACTAAAATATCCTTATTTTAGAAATAGCACATAATGTTACACTCCCCTTTAGGTTGGTATATAGATATTGCCCACCTTGTAAACAATGGGGGTGCAAAACCTTACTACTAAGCTTCTTTGTGAAAACATTGGCTAACAGATTCTCTGGTTTCATAAAAGGCATGAAATCAAGTCCTTGTTTAACTTCTCTTTAATGAAATGTTGGTCAATTTCAACATGTTCAATTCTGTCAAGTTGAAGTGGATTATGCGCAATGTTGATAGTAGTCATGTTGTCACAATATAGTCTTATAGGTCCATCATAATCAATTCCTAGCTTTTTGAGTAATGTTTGGAGCCACTTAAGCTCACAGACTCTATGGGCTATTGCTTTGTATGCAACTTCGCACTAGACGTAGCCTCTAATGCCAGTTTGTTGCTTCGCCATGTGACAAGATTTCCTCCAATCAAGGCTCAATAGCCTGAAGTAGATCGTCTATCATCCATTGAACTGTTTAGTTTGCATCACTAAATGCTTCCAGTCATATCCTAATTCGGAGAAAAACATAGTACCTACTCTAGTAGAGTGGACCTCACTCTTTAAACATAAACTCATCAACCTGTGCATAAGTATAATAGACTCACAACACAAGCATCAACCAGACGCAGTAACACATAAATAATACACAACATCACCCAAATTGATAACATACTATCCTCTCTAATCTACAACTCTTAACTCAATTACTTAATATTGATATACATGACATCAATGTTCACAAATAATTTACATAAGACACCAAAGTCCAGCCGTTCCCCTTAATTGTCTAGACCCAACAATGGACATCCCTCTTAACTCGGTTACCCGAAATCACAAACTGTGGGGAGGTGAGAAACCACACGTTTAGTGAATGTACCCATTCATATAATGGACGTCAATGAAAATATACCATCTTAAAAGCCATTAAGTACATATATTTCACAATTTCATCTTCAATTCATCATATACTAAATGAATAACCGCTCATCATAAGCCATCATATATGGCATTCATTGATACATATATCCGCCACTTCGGTTTTATTTGCCATTGAGGCTATATATCCACCACTAAGGCTATATATGTGTCACTCAGACTATATATTTGCCTTTACGGCTATGCTCGCCACATAGGCTATTCAACTGCTTTTAAGGTTGTTCAACACGACACAATGCCATTATAAGTCATTGAAGCTATAGATATTCACCAATAAGCTATTTAGCATATTGATAACGTTATCATCATCCAATATTCCACCCTATTGTATATCAATAATGAATAAACATACCTTTGCTGCCATAATTAATTATATGAAATTGCACACCCATGTGGAATTCGTCTAAAACTCGTAATTAGTCACCCAACGAGATTTTAGGTGTATGAAACATTGTCATCGCCGCTTCAGCTCCTACCACATATCATAATAAATACACATAGAGTATTCATCGTATATGCATTACATCCCAAATGTTCATGTGTGGATGCTTGTTCATACTTATTCCAACACACTGCGAATTCCCTTCCCACATGATACAACACAAACCTTTTACTCTTTGTTTGATAATTAGGTGTCTTACTCAAGCTAGGTTTGTGTTTTGTGCATAAGCTTTGAAGTTGTAGATACATAGACTAAAAGGAGTGGTTTTGAACTCATTTGGATGTTTTGGAAAACTTTGAAGACGGAAGAATAGAAAACCAGAGGCTTAACTACAAAAACATAATTTAACAGAGGTTGTACCAGTTCTTCACTGAACAGTGAGCATAGAACATGGTTTTATACCCCCCAAAGCCATTCTCTTCCTCCCCAAGACCTTTCCAACACCCACTATCCAACCTTAACACATAGAAACTTTAAAACCTTACTAGATTAGAGATTGGGATGCTACCCATAAGGAAGTCTTCTTCATCGGAATTTTGCCGGAACCTCCGAGTGGGAAGAGCTTAAGATCCTTGAAGATTTAACTCCACACCAAGCAACCTAAGGATTTGAATCTAAATAGAATTATGAGGGTTATGGAGAGGAAGAGGTTGTTTTAGTTCCAAGTGGGCAAGAACTCTTCCAACCCCTTTGCCGAATTAACCATTGGAGTTGGAGAACTCCTCCAAAAATTCATCTACCTCCACTACCCACTAGGAACCGGTGCATGCATGGGTTTTCTTCCACTCCCCTTTCAACTTCACCGAAATTCCTTGGCTAGAAGGCTTCTAAAGATGACAAGTGCTCACATGACTACTCTCTTTTGCCCAATTAAACTCTGATCTCCTTTTGTTCCCCCTATTTGCCTAATTCACATTTAATTTTTCGACACATAATAAATCACACCCAACTCTTCACTGTCCTATAATTCAATCCCCAAATTTATTGTCAAAATTATTACTCTACTTCCCATGTCTTCAATAACTATTATTTTACCCCAACAAATTACACTTTAACCCCTAGCATTATATAAAATATCATAATATACTTGTTCGGGTCTCACAACTCTTCCCCTTTTAAAAGAATTTTGTCCCCGAAATTGACTTACCACGCCGAAACAAATAAAGGTATTTTTTTTGTGCTTTTTGCACTTTGCACCCTGAAAGTTTTCAATACAACATTTTTGATACATTGAGAGTGCAATTTGGAAAATTTAATCTTTGAAGGTGTAAAGAGGGAAACTTGAACTCTTTCAGGCTGCAAAGTGTAATTCGCCCATTCTTTTTTTTTTTTGTTTGGTTATTTCCTCCACTGAATGACCTACCCCAAAACTTTAGCTAGTAAAATGATCTTCTTTTAACTCTATAGGGTCCTTTGACAACACATAGGGAGAATCAGATACACTCTTCCGAAGTGTTGTCACATGGAATACAACATGTAACCATAATATATCTGATGGTAACATCAACCAATACGCCACAAACCCTATTTGTTCAAGAATCTAGAACTTAGCTAACCTTCCATACCAAATCTCATAACCCCTTTCCAAAGTAATACTCATAAAAATACTCGATCAGTAACTGGAAATCT